GAAAAGCTTGATCCTGAAGAGTCGGAATAAGAAGTATCGGCCTGCATTTTTCAGGAAGGTCAGAGAAGATGACAACGTGTAACAATCTGTTTTGAAATTGAAAATATTGATAGCGTTAATATATTATTGTGTGCTTTACTTAAATGCTCAGGAGGATCTGGAGAAGTCCCTTTCAAAAGCTTCACATGATCAGAGGGTGTTGAATCCTATTCTGAGGCCAGGGGATATACAGGTTGAACTTCCAACTTTTCTTCAATCAGAAGACACCGTCTAACTTCACTATGAAATCAATTCAGCTATTTTATTTTATTTTATTTTTTTTGTCAGGTTTCTGTGCTCGAGGATATCATACAAGGGATGAAGGTGAGGGAAACACCACCACAAAGTTCGATACCTTTTTTTTTTTTTTAAAGTTACTTATTAACATTTTCTAAGTGCACTGCCTGCTCTAATCATTCTAACAGCATGAACAACCTTTAGTGACCTTTTGTCTTTTAACGAGTTTCATATGTAGAACAAAATTAAGAAAAGACTCAAGTATACGTATCTCCAAAATTCGCTTTGGCTTTTTGCAGGATAGTTCAACATCGTCATGGGATGATGTCGTTTTCGTCCCTCCGGGTTTTGATGTCAAGACCGATCCATCTTGGCAACCTTAAGCGCAAACTGATAGTTAAATATTGTACTCTGTTATGCTGGAAATTAGCATGCTTAATCATATGCTTTTGATTTTTGTACTTTTTTCATCATGTGTTAGGAACTGGAAACATGTGAAGGGGACAATGTTCTTTGCCGTGGAATCTGACTAGGAAATGTTTTCTCTGTTCAGTTGGTCGTGACAGGTGGATCTCATCTGTCATAAATAACAAACAATTTTAAGGTATGCACCTATTATATAAGATGGAGATTTATAGTATTTATCAAATAACATCTTTAGGGAAAGGGAAACTAAGGGGCTGGCAAATCGTGTGACTGTATCTTGTTTCATGTCCATATAATAGTGACATGATACGAGAAGGCTTGATACAAATAGAAAATGATGAGGAAGAGTCATTTACAAAGTCATTTCTCAGTTGAACAAATATCGGTCATGCACACCATTTTTTTGATCCCAAAACACCTCACCCCACCGGAGTTTTAGATTTCAGGCCAATTAGCCTTTGTTCAGTCATTTACAAAGTCATTTCTAAGATCATAGCAAACGGACGTAAAGTTGTTCTTCCTTGTTGTATCTCATAGATAATGTGGTAGTGGCTAATGAATGCATTCATTTCTTAATTGGCAAGAGAAAAGGCAAAGATAATCGTATGGCCATAAAGTTAGATATGTCTACAGCGTTTAATAGTGGAGTAGTCGTTCATTGTCAGAGTTTGTAGAAAAAAAAAAAAA